TTTTAATCACGGCGGTGGATGAAGTATCTGGCTTAAATATGAGGACCACGTCGGTCACCAATCAATGACGGTAAACTTTCTATTCAAGTCTTGTCTGTCTTCCATGGCCCTTGATGATATGAAATGTTAGGATCTGTACATTGCAACTGGACGTTGGAATTTTAATTTAAATGACGATGTTGACGTTGGAATTATAATTTAAATGAAAAAATCTAATGTGTACATCACATGACTTCCTTGTACGGAATATTAAATTATACGGATTTTTTCTTGCATTTCATTTAAACTTATTGGATTGAATTAAATCTACTTCGCCGACAGCGCATAAACCACAATAGAATAAATGCATTCTTTAAAATTCACTCTAGTATTTGTTTACCATAGCGACACTCTGGCGCTAGATTCACTTAACAGTATTAAATTTCGTTTATATTATAACTCAGAATGAACGAAATTTATGTCATTTAAAGGATTATCGAATCGTTGCCACATGTTCTATTCAAATACTATAATAAAGCTAGAATGAATAAAAGAGATTAAGCAAACAAAACAAAAAAGAAACAGTTTTTCACAGATGATTGAGTATTTCTCATTCAATTAATTCAGTTCTCACTTCGAGAGAAGGCAAAAATACATAAAAACTCAAAATATCTGTATTAAAAATTACGATGTAAATCTTAAACACTTATTTCCTCGAAAAAATTCCAGAAAGGATTAAGCATGATTTAATTGCCAATAATAAATGGAGGCGTTATCTTTGTTTTTGGGAAGATAAGTTTCTCTAGATTGGCAACAAATCCACTAATCTGCTGTTTCAAATGTAAGCAATCAATGGCCGCCGTCCAAAAAAAAAAAAAAAAAAGGCTTAGCGGTACTTAAACAACTTTAAAATTGTTGATAATTCTAAAAATATTGCACACAGATTTACTAAAGGCATAAAAACCTTAACAGGAAGATAAAAACAACATAATTCAATCATTTTTAAAGCAAAACATGTACAATTTACCAACATATAAGAGTAAAGAAACTGAGATCAGTGAGCCGGGTAACAGAGGGGATATATATATATAAATATATTTATATACGTTTGGTGCGGCCGATTGCAACCAAAATACGAGGTGCACATCTACATGTTATAGCAGTCCTATATGAAAAATTTCAACGTTCTTGAGGCCACTCGTTTTTGAGTTATGCGAGATACGAACGTCCGTACATACGTTCGTACAGACGCCACGAAAAATTCTCTTCAGAATTAATTTTAAAGCAGTTTTATAATTTTTTTGAAGGAAAAGAGTCTTTTATTCTGTCCTTACGTACAGATATCACGCAAAAACATCGTTAAATTGCATTCGATAGCGGTCAAAGTGGATATTTTCGTTGAAATATGCTGCCTGAATCTTTTCGCGATTACAATACTTCCTTTTTACTTCGTACAAGGAAGTAAAAACAATATAAAAGAAAAAACTGAATCACGTTAAAAATATGATAATTTTGCAAGAAATATTCGGGGGCAGGGTCATATTTAAACACTAAAATCATAAAATTATGAAGAATTAAGATAAAATATTTATGAAAATTATTGTTATGTTTGTCAGTATTAAGAAATGTAATATGACAGATGAAGTAAACCTCGAAGTGTTTTAGTAGAGTACTAGCACTAATCCATCCAAACCAGTTTGTAGTATCTCCAGAATATTTCTTGTAAATTTTTTTTTTACTTCTGTCGCTAGTATTTATATAGATTTTTTTTTTTTTTTTTTTTTTTTTGTATTGCGACGAGATATATGATGTTTATTTATATTAAAGTTAATTTGGAATTTTTCATTTCAACTATCCGTAAAATAGACAACTGACTTCTTCCAAAATGGTCAAAATGGCGTAGATGTAGCATGGGATAAACAGAAGCACAAAGTACATTTGGCTGGCTTCAAATATGAATTTGAAAACACCTACATATCCACATACACATGACACTGAAATGTAATGTTTTCTGTGTATTGAAGTGCGAAATCTTCCATACTTCCGAAATACTTGAAGCTAATATATTGCTTCTGAAACTTTGAGAATTTAGTTAAATTTTTTTTTTTTTTTTTTTTTTTGTTAATTGTCTTTGAACCATAATAGATTCTGCGTTTGGTTGTGTGGAAATAAAAATAATCCGTTTGTTTTAATATGCGTATGGTCAAAATAAAAGCAAAAAATATTTAATAAAATATGGTAAAAATACAGTAACGTTACAAAAAAAAAAAAAAAAAAAAAAAAAAAAAAAGAAAGAAAGAAAGAAAAAAAATTTAGTGCATTAAAAAAAAAAAAAAAAAAGCTGAAATATTCTTTATTATAATCAATTTCTTCATTTAATTTTAGTACAGTAAGAATGAAAGCAAAATTATCTCTTCATCTTTGGAAGCATAAGTAAAATTTAATTTCATTGCTTTGATATATATATATATATAGTATTTTAAGTGCGCAGTCGTGAATTCGGTACTTCTAGTTGTAGACATAGCTGGGTGGAAAAGGTTGGTATAGAAACAGTGGGTTATGTTGGAATAAAACATGGACAAAACTGAATTGAAGAATCACCATCTTTATTTTTACACATCTCAAATTATCTCTTTGGCAGACAAATTTACTTTTCAATCACATTTCAATATAATAACTTCTTATATACAGATAGAGGGATACTACGTTATTTCAAGCAGGAAAGCATAAACGGCGCAGAGTTGTTTGTATGGCAGACGTCAGAAAGAGAAGGAACATAATTCCTCGCGAAGCCGTATTTATACTGCATAGTTACACATGTGAATCAAAGCCGTGATTGGTTAATTTTACTTTTAGTTACCTTTTTCAAGCAGTGTTATGTAATTTGGAATGATCTCGAATTTCGGAGAAAGGATAAATTCAGGGAAAGAGTACTAAATATAGAATGGTTAATTTTGCGGTTGCCAATTATTTCTTAGCATAGCCATCGTATTTTATTCTATCTTACAAATATGTTATACTTTATTTCTGTTACTGTATAATGAAGAATTTGTTATGTATGCATATATATACTATGTACGTTCCTCGCATTCTTTGCCTTGTAAAAAAAAAGTGAATCCCTTTGTATTGCTGAATATAAAATATTTTCAACTTCCATTCGCTAGTATGTTGTCATTCGGCCTAGCGTATATTATGTTTAGCATTTAGATTTAATCTTAGCTTCATGTGTTAATGATTAAAAATCTAAGCGATTTAAAAGAATAAACGCAGTTCCTATATATATATATGTGATGTACCAGCTTTTGTCCGCAATAAATAGATTGGTGAAGAATCATAAATGTAGTCGTAGCTTAAATTATCAGACGATAAGTTTAAAACAGGACCCATTTATTATTATTCAGGAGAAACAGCAATTACAAAAATCTGATCTCCGGAGTAAATAAAAAGGAATTACTAATAACTTTTTGTATGAAGTTTACTGCATCGTTACATTAAAGAAAAGACCCCCATATTCCTTTGCGAGTCTTTTTATAGCCTCTGGAAAGACGGAGCTTCCAAGAAATGACGTCAGCCTCGTCAGCAATTCCAGTTCGCTTTAAATATCTCCAGAACATTCTATAACTGTAAGTGTAGAAAAGGCAGGAAAAACAACTTGACTACGGGGCTGTGGATTTAACTTCACGAACTTTCAAATAAGAGACCGTCGCCATTAAAAGTGAAAAGAACATATAGTTAGAATTTTAAATGCATTCTTGACTATATATATGTGTGTGTGTGTGTGTTACCGGAAAAGTATGAAACGCCGACATTCTATAGAATACCTGGATAATTTATAGAATACCTGTAGTTTTTTAGGCAAAGTATAAAATATGAGAATTATTATATACTTTACCTAGGCATTCTAGAGAATTACAAATGCTCTTTAGGCAAAGCATAAGAGAAAGATCAAGGTAAGGCTATTATTATTTAAAAGAACTTCATTTCTCAAATACAAATGATATGCAGAGTTATTGGGTGTTTTCTTTTTCTTCTTCTTTTTTTTTGGGGGGGGGAGCAGGAGAGGTGAAGTATGTGCAATGCCCTCGGCGGGACTCGAATCCTGAACTTCTCGAATCGAGTCGAGTATGCTTCCAATTACACCACGAAGGCATGCGGAAAGGAGGGAGAAAATGTGGTTATTTTGAAAAAAATAAATAAATAAATAAAATAAAATAAAGACATTAAAAAACTTTTATTCATAATATGCACAAAAAAATTAAAGTTGTACAAAATAAAATTTGTACCTTTCCTTATTGAAAAAAAAATAATAATAAAATAAGAACCTATTTGATGCACCAAGAAAGGGAATCATTTTATTTTGAATTTCATTTAATTTTATTTCTCATAAAAGTAAAACAGGATCATTAAATGAACTTTAAAAAAAACAAGCACATTAAAAAAGAAAATATGAGAAACGTAATTTTTTGACAAATAAATAAATAAATAAATTTAACTTACTTATTATGGTAAGCCTGAACGACATTTTGAAATATACTTCATCACTTTTTTCGCTCAAAGACACATGTTGACCTTGTTATTTGGATTTTTCCGATAACACATCAGCAGTGGTCCCAGTTATTTCAGATATCTGGAATTTTACTGGAGTCACAAATAAGCATCATCACGAACTTTAATATCATAAAATCATATGATACCTCGCGTTGTTTTTATGATTTTATTATCTTCGATGTACAGATTTTTTCAATTTTAGTCGTTAGGTATCTCATATAAATGACATAGTATACATTAAAAACAAACTATGCAAATAAAAATGTTTTGCTCGAAACAACATTTTTATCTTATTACCTTGCCGCTTATGATAGCTCTAAAGCAATTCTTATGGTTAAAAAAGGATTGAGTTTTTAACCCATATGAGGAAGATTATTAAAAATCTTCAATTTCGTGTAATATTTATGAACAAAAAATGAACTCTTTTGTAAATGATTAGTTCACTTCCATTTACGATTGGCTTTTATTTTCAGAGAGGGAATATCGATGTCTTGGAAGCTGGGAAGAACCTGGTGGCGTGACTTTTACATACACCCAGCGAAGAGAAATGGATGGCTTTCAGTGTTTTGTAAGTATCTGTCTTGTCCAAGTTCTTCAAATATTTTCAAGTATACATTAAATTACGTTCGAATTGTCTTTAATGCAACAGATTCTAATTCCTGCTTTTCTACTTTTTAATAGTCAGGTAAAGTTCTGCAAAGTGGAAAAGAAGCCTACATTAAAGAAGCTGGACATAGTTGCATCAGAGGCGAAGATCCTTTAATTTATGGAATGCAAATAACAAAGCATGGTAAGCCATTAAATAATATAAACACAGTTCTATTTTTAAAGTATACACCGCATTGTTGCATATATATATCCTAAACAGCATTATTAGCATTTTCAATCGTACTTGTCAGATTATTTTGCAAAATAATTGCTTATTTTTGCTTGCGCAATAAAATCCGGCTACTCTTTGGTAGAATCATTCATATATTTTCCCCCTTGCAGCTTCCTGTCCAGATTTGGGTCTTTCCGTGTCACATGTTCCTAAATATCCTACTCTGAGTCCTGATAATGTTGATGATCCTTTATATCGACCTGTGCCTAATGATCCAAACTGGTACCAGAAGGAGAATGATAATGTGAATTCCAGAGACAGGAAATCCCCAACACGTGAGTAATTTATTTTTTAGCATATGCGAATTAAATACATAAGCGACAACTCGTGGAGTTTAATAATATAGATTATACAGTTACAATTTTCAATTTAGCATGGTAGAAAACTCATGTTATTTAAAAGCACTGAAGATTAGATGCACAGAAAATTTACGTGGATACTGTCGTTAATTCATGTCAATCCATAGGTACAGTACGCATGGATTTGAATTTGATGGCAGGTCTTCCCATGAGATGCAATGATCCAGAAAGATAGCTGCTAACTTGATGGGCCAGAGTTCGAATTTTTGCTAAAACGCAGATGTTCATGATTATCACGTTCATGCGGAGTAGAGACGTATAAAATCTAATCTTTCGAAAGTTCTGTCAAGAGGCTGGTGACAACAGAGGGACACAGCTGACGCTAGAACCGGTGTAACCTGTGCAGCTGCCCTGGGCAGCGAGATTTAGGGGCAGTTGACAGTTGAGAGCAGAATCTGGACACCCGTGCGCGTAATAGCAAACTGCACATTTAGTTGACCAATGTTAAACGAATTTCGCACTCTGCGCATGCCCAGAGGGGAATTTAGCGCAATTTTAAAAGAGGATAAATTCGGCATATTGTTGATTTTCTGTTATCTAGGTGTAAACAGTTCGGGTTTTTAAAACTTGTTAGTTTGTACGTAGTTTCATTACTTAGAGTGTAAATACCGATTGTAAATTGGCAAATTTTCATTTAAGAACTATTACAAAACAGGAAACATTGCAAAATATATTAACTGAATATTTATTGATTATTCTTCTGAGGAATAAAAGCGATCGAGTATTTGCCATGCGTTTCATTCGTATATTATTATTTTAACAAATTAAGGAATAAATCACTGAATTAAAGTCAAAGAAATTATTATAAAGAACAGATAATAAATGTAATCTCTATGCACAAAATAAACCAAAACTGAAATGAAACAGAAGCAAATCCAATAAACAGAAACAAATTTCCATAGTGTTGTAAACAGTCGATAAGATCTACGTAACGAACAGACTTGCGCAGGGTTGCTTATGCTTAGTCGCCAGTATTTATTTCCTCCCACGCCACTGAGCATGCGCACTGAGCGAAATTCGCTAACATTGATCAACTCAATGTGCGGTTTGCCATTACGCCACCCGTGTGGCTTACTTAGACTATTCGGGTACTCTCCGGGGCGACACCTCATGGGCCCTATAAGGGCATACATGTATACATGCTACATAGTTCATAATATATGCTTATAGTTACATAGTTCATAATATATGCTTACATAGTTTACATAGTTCATAGTACATGCTTATATACAAGTAGTGCATAATACATAGATCTTGGGATTTAGGGGCAGCAAAATTTTTAGAATTTAGGTAGACATTGGGCAGCATATTTTACAAGTCACGGATATTGCACCAGGCGGCAAAATGTCTAGGGCTGGCATTGCAGGAGGATGTGAGCCTCTCAGATACCATTTCGCATGTTGCCTCAATTCAGATTCGGATACTGAGTACAGAAATCAAACGGTTACCATCGCTGTCCAAGGTCTGCAACCAATGGCTCTCATTCTTCCCGCCCATAATGTATTCATGGGCTACTGGAATGCAAAGCAACAACGACATATTATGATTCAAGTCACTCTGAGAAACTGTTATTTAGAGGAATTACTACGCAAAGGAATAATTACCGAATATCCAGAGTAATGTAGTCAAAGCAAATATTTGACTAAGGATGCTTTCTGAAAAATCATTGTAATGGCTTGTTATTTTTTCTAAAACTTAAGCCTTCTATATTTTTCGTTGTTTATTTCATTCCTTTACCTGTAGAAATGAGTAAACAAACGCTTAATTGTAAAAAGTTCTTAAGAAGATGAAAAGTAATACTGATGGGTTAAATTGAAAACAACCCAAACTAAAGTGACCACACTTCTTGAATTTTTAGTTACTATCCTGGATTTCAGAGCATTGTTCCGATACAGGATTATATCCTGGATTCTATAAAAAGAATCTTTATGACGATTATATCACTATTTTGCTTACAGTTGACATGAAATTTGTTTGCTTTGTGGCTCATCGAGCCTATCATACAGAGTCGTAGCTAGGGTTTTCAGCGCCCAGGGACAACTGAAGATTTCGCGCCCCCTACTGCTTGCCAAGGATGGAAAACATTTAGTTCTAAAATGTCGTAACATCAGTTTGGCGCCCCTTGGATTCTGCTCCCGGGGACAGATGCCCCCTTTTCCCCCTTTAGCTACGCCCCTGCTATCATATTGGTGGTTGTCGGTCATCAAGCTTGTCACATTAGTCATTTTTAGTCATCGAGCTCGTCTAGCTCATCAGTTTGTTAACATACGGTCATTGAGGTATTTGGGGGAATCAAAAATGAATTCAATAATAAAATAATTGCGAGTTCCGATAAATGTTTCAGGCGATTTGCCTTGTACTCAAAAAGCTTGCTTTGAGAATGAATTTTCGGGTTTCCATATAAACTGTGTTCTTACAGATTTAATTTATCCGCTGTTGATGTTTAAGAAAATCACCGATCTTCTACTGGAAATAAAGAGACGTAGTGTTCCGGCTAATAAAGCTTTTTATGGATTAACGAATTTACTTAAATCTGGCTCTTTATATGGAAAGACAAGGCTGTTTTACTCTTCAAGACCCTAATCCGTTCTATCCTGACTTATTCGGAGACCTGAACTATGACAGTGCTTTGGGTACTTCTGAGCGCAAGCTCCTGAGAAGCGTTTTCGGAGAAAATCAGGTATCTGGTGTAGGAGACGCAACACCGAATTATACCGAATGTTTAAGGATTCATTACATTAAAATAATAAATTATTAAAATTCATTACATTAAAATAAAAAATCTGATGTGTACACCACATGACTTCCTTGTACGAAATACTAAATTATACGCATTTTTTCTTGCATTTCCTTTAAATTTATTGGATTGAATTAAATCAACTTCGCCGACAGCGCATAAACCAGAATAGAATAAATGCATTCTTTAAAATTCACTCTATTTGTTTACCATAGCGACACTCTGGCGCTAGGTTCACTTAACAGTATTATATTTCGTTCATAATTATAACTCAGAATGCACAAAATTTATATCATTTAAAGAATTATCTAATCGTTGCCACATGTTCCATTCAAATACTATAATAAAGCTAGAAACGATGTATAAAAGAAATTAAGCAAACAAAAAAGAAACACTTTTCACAGACGATTGAGTATTTCTCATTCAATTAATTCAGTTCTCCCTTCGCGACAAGGCAAAAATACATAAAAACTCAAAATATCTGTATTAAAAATTACGATGTAAATCTTAAACTTATTTCCTCGAAAAAATTTCAGCAAGGATTAAGCATGATTTAATTCGCAATAATAAATGAAGGCGTTATCTTTGTTGTTGCGAAGCTATGTTTCTCTAGATTGGCAACAAACCAACTACTCTGCTATTTCAGATATAAACAAACAATGGCCGCCATTAAAAAAAAAAAGGCTTAGCGGCACTGAAACAACTTTAAAATGTTGATAATTCTAAAAATATTGCATACAGATTTACTAAACGCATAAAAACCTTAACCGGAAGATAAAAACAACATAATTCAATCATTTTTAAAGTAAAAAATGTACAATTTACAAACATATAACAGTAAAGAAACTGAGATTCCTGAGCCAGTTAACAGAGTGGATATATATATATAAATATATTTATATACGTTTGGTGCGGCAGATTGCAACCAAAATACGAGGTGCACATCTACATGTTATAGTAGTCCTATATACAAAAATTTAAACGTTCTCAGGCTACTCGTTTTTGAGTTATGCGAGATACGTACGTACGTACGTACGTACATACGTTCGTACAGACGCCACGAAAAATTCTCTTCAGAATTCATTTTAAAGCAGTTTTATAATTTTTTTGGAGGAAAATAGTCTTTTATTCTGTCCTTACGTACAGATATCACGCAAAAACATCATTAAATTGCATTCGAAAGCGGTCAAAATGTATATTTTCGTTGAAATATGCTGCCTGAAACTTTTCGCGATAACAATTCTTCCTTTTTACTTCGTACAAGGACGTAAAAACTGTTGTTTATTACATTAAAATAAGTCGCCTCAGTTGGGCAGGGCATATTAACCGTATGAAAGAGAGTAACATACTAAAAGAAGAAGAAGAACTAGATCTCGTTGGATCTTTAGGCCTTAAAACTATCAATTGGAGGAGTTTGGCCGTTAGTAGAGTTAGCTGAAAATGTCCAGTTCAGAAGGCCTTGGCCAGCCCTGGGCGGTCGCGTCATGGATGGTGATGATACAAAGTATGTTCTGTGCTCGAAATCTGGATAAAAACAATAAAATTACCTACAGAATTTTAAATAAATTGCCTTGAGTAATGCTCTGACATCTGCATAGGTAGGGAATACACAACCTCTGATCATTACACTTTTTCATGCTCCTTAACTGAAAATAATTCCATAAAATCCCCATAAATAGACCTCCTGGCATTCCAAAGGTTTCTAATTAAAGATAAACATCAGTATATAAAGTTTGAAAAGATTACACGACGATTCTCTTCCTACGGCCTAGTATAAGTTCTCATACTACATAAATTTAACGAACTTTTACATTCTGTGAATATGTTCTAAAGGACCCCACTTGTGACCTTTGTAAACTATAATAACGTTTTATAACTAACATTGTGTTCCCATTATTTATTACATTTACCTCATTCTGTTTATCTTCATACTTACCATGATTATCTGTTATTTTTGTTACAACAAAACAGATGTTTGATTTAATTTATGAATTTCAAATAATACTTAAAGTTTATTGTAATTTCTTTACTTCCTAAATCATTATTAATCATTATTTTCAATAAATACTGGATGCGGAGCGGATGGCGGCGAATCAGCTGGCCAAATATTTAAGGACTATACCTTCTCTGTACTATTTGGCTATGCTATGCTACTGTATGTACTATGCTACTGTATGCCGCCCAGCTAGTGTATTGCTTAGTCACTCTGACTGCAGTATCGATGGGCTCAAGTTCGAATTCCTGAGAAGTCATGGATGTCTCTACGCACATAGTGTCCGTGCGGCATGGGGCACTCATAATACACTGCGAGCCAAAAGTCCTCTCGAGAGGTTGTTGGTATACCTCCATCATCTATGGTACTACAGAGATGCTGGCCTAGCTTCTACCTATTCCTGTAGATTTAATTGTTTAGTTTTTTTTTTTTTTTTTTTTTTTTTTTTTTTTTTTTTTTTTTTTTTTTTTTGGGTAGCCAAAACTATGTTGTTGCGGACTTGCTTTGAAAAATCTCATTACTTTAACCTAGAATTAAGTTATCTGTGGGAAGCTTTTAATGTGTTTAAAGCAAACGGTGTCTGGTTTGCGAGTTCTCAGCCCTATTAATTTCCCAATAAATTTCAACTTGTGTGGGAATAAAGTATTCCATACACTCATACACATTATAAAAGCGGGGGAGCGTTGATGCAACATTAAGATATCGCTAATCAAATGTATTTATGAGATCCAGTTTGTAGAAATGCGCCGAAACATTTGAAACATTGTAGCAGTCAATGAGTGGGATGGTTAATTACATCGGGGAAACTTCTGCACGAAAGATATTCAGTTTCTGTAATCTAACTCCCTCTTTGCAGTTTATTCTGAAATAACTGTTATCACTTTCGTGGGAATACGAGTGTTTAAATCTGAGCTGAAATTTATTGTTTAGCAGCAACTGTATTTTCTCTTCTAAAGAAACACGTGGAAAGCAGACATAACCATAGTGGTCTAGTACACGCTCCTTTCTGAAACGCCTCCTTTCTGAAAAACTACTACAGAATCAAATTCGATTATGTTTATTTATAAATGCCGCAGTATGACGTTAGTTTTTAGTATTTATTTTATGTTTATTTTTTTATTTAAAAAAAAATTAAGGGGTGTTGGAAGCCAAAAATTTACAAAAAATGGTGATTTGAGATGATTGCATTTTCAAATTCTCTATGCGTTTATCTTCCTTAAAATAGTATACTTTAATCTTAATGAAAATTAGAACTGTGAAAAATCTACTTTTAGTTTATCATCGAATGTTTTGATAAATGAGCATTTTCAAAATAAATAATACACCGCAAGTAACTGACTTTACTCATACTGAGTAAAAATTCGTTTTTCTCCAAATGTGATTTTTTATATTCGATGTACCTTTTCTCAGGAACTACTGCTCACAGGTATTTAAATTTTTTGGGCTTATTTGCTATGTTTTCTAGTGCTTACTGAAATGAGCTTTTTGTGATAAATGAAGAAAAATTTTTTAACTTTTTTTTTGAGGGGGGAAGGGGGTAAAAAAGTGCTAAATTTTAGTATGGCAAATACAATATCCTATAGATTATTCTAAAATTCAAAATTTTTCAAAAGCTCGTTTCAGTTTAATTAGAAAGGTGTATTTTAATTACACAAAAAATTTAAGACGTGTATCTGTAGCAGATTTTGAGAAAAGGTACATTGAAAATGGTCAAGTTAATATGGTCGGTATAGGGGGTTTCTCACTTCACTTAAGAATGCAAACTCCTCGTGTTCCACAATGTATACCACGAGGCTTACAGAAGTAAGTAAATAACTCAGTAATACTCAGTAAAAGAGATATAATGCAGCAATAATGCATAATATCTAGCTGTGGAAAGGATAAGGAATATATTTAATAATAAAATAGTGATCAGTAACAAATCGCTTTATACTTTTGAAAATACTGACCTAATCATTATCACAGGTAACAACTTTCACAGAAAGAGTCTGAAGAGTGAAGCTCATTGAAAAAAAAAAAAAAAAAAAAAAAAGCATCTCATTAAGGGCACTGCATGGGTAGTCACTGCCTCTAGCATCAAGATTGCGGCCGAGCGGTAAAGTCGCTGATCACTGGTAGTTCGGTCCGAGGTTCGAATTCCGCGAACGGGTTGGCTGCATGGGCGTTTTCGTGGTTTTCCCCATGTGTAACGTGTATACGAGCCAGTTTCCCTTAGAAAGTCCTCCACGAAGGCATCCCTTCCCTTAGGCAGATAGCCCAAATGTGCTTTGCCATAATTAAATAAACCAAACCAAACCTAGCATCAAGATCATTTAAGATTATTAAATGCTGCCTAACTGGGATAGTATTTAGCGACTCGGACTGCCGTACTTAATGGCTCGGGTTCGAATCCCGGAGAAGGCATTTATATTTGTAAGTGTATAGTATCTGTGCGGTATTAGGGCAGGCGCATTTGATTCGTTGCCACGATGAATGTTATGGGCTTGTGCTGACTGTTGTCAAACAAGTGAGATTGGTAATAACAGATTATTAAATCAATAGGTGGGAAGCCAGAAATGACGAATGCAGCCTCATAACTCACAGTCTTGTAACTCCGAATAATGGGAAGGAGAAATCTCCTTCAAACTCTTCTAAGAATTTTACAGTTTATTTTCTTCCTTAATGAATTTCCCCAAAATTTATTTATTTTTCATTTTTTAACATATGTGTTTAACTTGTACAAAAAGTACGTCATTGTAAAATTTTAATTGTCTGTGTAAGGTATTTAAATGTTTGGTTAAGATTAGATTTGATTAAGATTTTTTTTTCTTTTGTTAGGTTCAACGAAAGAGGAAGAAGATCACAACTTGAATTCTGCCATTTTGCCAGCGAGCTGCATATTTTCCTTGCTTTTATGTGTGCTATGTTCATGTGCTATGCATTTCAGGAGAATTGCATAGTAATCGTTTCGGTGTTTAGATAGGTTTAAAGAAATTTAGTATGTAAATAGAAATATCCTAATTATAACTATAGTCATTTTATATGATAACTTCAGTGCCGGACACTACTGAATTGACACTACGCCCCTAAATGGAAGATGTAGTATCTCTTCAAAACTCATGTCGTGACTACTGCCGGTGTCATAAATCAATGACATGCTTGTTGACGGACACAGACGGAAAAAAAAAAAAAAAAAAAATGTGCTTGTCGACAAATCTCTAACAGAATTCTTTTAAACTTGATACCTTCAAATACCTTTAACCTGATGAGAATCGAAGATACAGTTCTTGAAGATTTAAGAGAAACACTTATTGAAACCAGCAACTATCTTCTGTGTTTCTTTCTGTCGACTGAAAGTAAAAAGATCTGAAGACAAAAGAAACCCTAGTCCATTTCATCAGGAACGCGCTTTATGGTGTTTAACTTTACCTAAAATACTCAGTCTGCGTGTGATATTATATAGACCGTTCCTATTTGTGCGCATACGATTTCGATCACGTTGTTTTTCGTATTAAACAGCATCTTCTAATGGAATGCTTTGAAATCTTTAATGTATCCAGATGTGTATCCCGTTGTGGATTTGAATGTGCGTGAACTTTAGACAAATCCAAGTTCCTATATCTTCAAAACCACATGTAGACTCTCATGAAAATATTTATTTTGTTGGAGAAATGTGTAAAAGAATCTTCGTAGCTTATTAACAGATTGTAGGATGTAATGCTTGCTTTGTGAAAATACTTGTTTAATAATAAATATATTCTTTATTTTTTTTGTGTGATTTCTTTTTGATGTGTATGGATTAACATTTCGGAACAATTTGCCATTGAAATAATTTTTCAGATATTAGATAATTACTGGTTTAAACTTATTATGCACAGTACTTGCATATATCGCTTAAATTCTCCTTAGCGATATTCTTATTTTTCATTTGGTGCAAAGGCACTTCTGTGCCTGATATGTAATGTATAATAGTAGAAATATCTTATATTAATTACAGGAATATATTTTAATTTCTATAAATTAGATATATTACTAGAAATAAAATGAATATATAAACTACTAAAACTTCATAAACTGCTAAAATCGCTTATTTATTAAATAATTTAGACTAATTAAAATCAAAAGATAAATATAAATATCTAATGTTTTGCCAAATGGCAATATCCTGATAACTGATTGTACACAAGGCGCGTGGAAGACAAACACGTGATGTTTCTCGCAGTGGCAACATTAGCATGGCAGCATGTAACATGGCAGCATACATAACATAATGGTTCAAACATTCTGAAAACACTTTGTTAAGAGCGTTTCTAACGTCAAAATTATGTAAGAACGCATGTAAAAACATTTCCAAAGTCAAAATGAAATCGAAGGATGCCGATGATGCCCACTAAGACTATTACTTGATATTTTACTACTTTAATCAGAATGATGATTATTATTTCAATCAGCCTGAATATAGTGTCTGTGCGGCAAGGGGATACTCAAATAGATGGCGAGCCGAAAGTTCTCTCGAGAGATTGTTGGTAAAGGAAGAGGATAGGAGACCCCCTAGACCGACCCTGGGGAGTTCTTCCTCAAAATTGGGACAGCATTAATTCCTAGTATTTAAATTTGAATTTTAAATTTTTTACCGTTATTCGGAAGCAACAAAATAGACGAGTTATTAAATAAAGTCGTAGATAAGCCTCCAATAAATGAGTTAATTATATTCTGTCTGCGTTTAATTTCTTTTATTTCGTCTTATATTTACATGCTATATTAGCAAGCTTGAAATAATTAGAAGCAAAAATGCATTCAGGAAAGAAACTGGTAGGCTAATTGATTAGCAAGATAAAATGCCATTTATCTTACTAAATTAGCTTTACCTTTCATTTTAGTAAAATATTCGCAGCTCATGCGCTGAGAAATATTTTGACAAAGAATTCTGTAATTTCTTTTGATATGAAGTGGACCGCATCTGATAGTTGAAAGAAAATGAAGCAAATATGACAAACTAAAGATCCCGATCCAGAATTCATAAAATTTTCAAACTCAAAACGCAATTAAGACTATTATATGTATATAAATATATTTTATATGTAGAATTTTGTATAATAAAGATGGTAATTATTATAAAACATACGAAGTGAACTTGACATTGTACGATTCGCAAAAATTTAGCTTTGATTTTACAATTAATCCTTGAATTACGCCAGTTACAAGTTTGCGTATAATTTTTGGTTCCCCAAAATGTAGTTGCTAATACCTTTCTATTGTAATAGACAAGTTACCAATAGCATAAACAGTGGGTGAACACACATTTTGCATGTTTATATGTAATGCGCACCGTAACTGTTGTTAACTGAACTGTTTAAGTAGGCTAATTCTTATATTGTTACATGTGTACGGTTTCGTAATGGATTGAATGAATACAAAGCCGATGATAGCTGAAAAAATATATCTTCATAGGGAACAAGGGTAGCCCACCTATTATGTGCCACCATAATAAAGGGACCACCTCTTCCGGCCTTAGTAGAGGACAATGACTGTATCGCCACCCAGACGAAAAAATCGTAACTGACACTGACTACCGCATGGAAGGATCCAGGTTCGAATCCTGGAGAAGGCATGGATGTAAGTTGTCTGTCCCTTCATAAAAGACAGCGGTCGCCTACTTATTAGGTGCCTCCATGGTAAACTGACCGATCACCGATCACCGCTGTAAGGGCTTCCGATCTAAGGTTATACCTATCAGAATAATGCCCATACAGCGGAAACAGAACTCCATTACGCAGCCCGGGAACGCATAAAAAATATTTAAGATGTTACAGAGTCACAATTTTTGTATACATAAACGTCTTTGCATTCATTTCGTGCGACAATGTGCATTCAGAAGTTACAGAACATGATTGCATAATGTAATGGTATATCATTAAACATAAGAACTTGATTAGGTATAATAGCAGTGGATAAGTAAAGCTGACATTAGTACAAACCGTGTAGATGATCAAGTGCAGTGATTAGATATGATATTCAAAGCAATCTGTACAAAGTTATTGTGCATACATTATAATCAGAAAGTAGTGATAAATATTAGTGGTAAGTAATTACGTAATTACATTTAGTAAAGTACCATGTGCAAACAATTGTAGGAGAGTAATTACAAAAATTACATATAGTACAGTACCGTGTGCAAACAAGTGTAGAGAGTAGATACAAATATTCGAATACAAACTGTATATTGCTATTTGTGCTTACAGTACAATCAGTTAGATGGTAGTAATATTAATGGTGAGTAGTTACATACAGAGAAGTGCCGTGTGTAATCCGATGCAGAGAGTACTATATACAATATTCGAAACAATCCCTTACATAGCTTTTCGTGCATACAGTACAGTCAGTAAATGGTTATACGCATTAGTGGTAGATAATTACATGAAGTACCGTGTGTAATCAATTGCAGAAAGTAAATATAATATTCAAAAATAATATGTACATAGCTATTTGTGCTTACAGTACAATCAGCAGATGGTTATATAAATGAGTGGTAAATATTTACATATAGCTAAGTGTAGTGTGTAATTAAGTACAGTGAGTGAATACACTATTCGATACAATCTGTGCATAGTTAGTCATGCTTACAGTACAATCAGTATATATTAGTGGTAAATAATTACATAAAGTGCCATGTGTAACCAAATGCAGAGAGTAAGTACAATATTCGAAATTATCTGCACATGGCTATTTGTGCTTAAAGTACAATCAGCAGAAGGTTATATAAATAAGTGGTAAAAATTACGTATAGCAAAGTGCTGTGTGAAATTAAATGCAGAGAGTAAATACAATATTCAAAACAAACTGTACATGGATATTTGTGCTTACAGTACAATCGGAAAATAGTTGTAAATTCTAGTGGTAAATAATTACATATGGTAAAGTACCATGTGTAATCAAATGCGGGGAGTATACACAATATTCGAAACAACCTGTACATAGCTCTTTGTACTGACAGTGCAATCAGTAATTAGTTAAATTTATTACTGGTAAGTAATCACAAATAGTATGGTGCCATACGTAATCGGCTGCAGAGCAGATACAAAATTCAAAACAAACTGTACATAGCTGGTTGTGCTTACAATAAAATCAATAGAAAGTTAAATATAAATTAGCGGTAAGTAAATACGTTTAATAATGGCTAGTCCCGCCATTGGGGGGGATTTATATCTGGATCATCGTGCTGGATTTGCACGACATGTTGCAGCTCTTGCAGGTAGTGTCTTAAAGATGCATAACGACAGGATTTCTTAACTAGAGTCCCGTACTGGGTTAGCAATTCAGGGCTGGAGGAGGGCAGTGACCATTTACAGAACTAAAATAAAATAAAAGCAAGCAAACTATTTACAGTGTTTGCGTTATTTACAGAGGCTCTGTGCAGTTTAGTCCATGATATATATTCAGGAGAAATAATTTCCTTTTCGCAATATTCAAACTAGGTTAATATTTATTTTTGCAAATCGAAGGAAATTTATGCGCAATCAGATTAAGTCGAAATGTTTTCATCCAACATATGGATTTAGAAAGGTTTTAAATAACGGTCTTCGTTGTGAAGCTTGTACTGAAAGGTCCCAAAGTAGTAGACAGTGTCACAGACCTCGTATTTTTTTTTTTTTTTTTTTTAAACCTTCAATGGTTTTTCTGGGATATTTCACGAGAAATTCAATTTTGAGGTCTTCATGGAAACTCTGATGCCCACCAGGGACCAAGTGGTAAAGTCGCTAAACACTGGTAGTTCGGTCTGAGATTCCAATCCCGTCGAAGGGGTTAGCTGCATGGACGTTTTCGTAGTTTTCCCAATGTGTAACGTGTATTTCTTACGCCAGTTTCCTTTAGAAAGCCCACCACGAAAGTTTTTAAGGATTCAAGGCTAAGAATTTAAGATAATATTTGTCTTATTAATTAAAAATTAAATGAATATTAGCACTCATATTAATAACATTAAATAAACCTGTCCATTATTACTCAGCTATTCCAGTTTTGTATGTACGCTCAAGTCTGAGATCGGCATATACATTATGTCGATTTCGGTTTTTTGTTTTTGTTTGAGCCAGCCAAGAAAACTCTTTCTTACTCAGATACGTAGAAGAAAACTGAATTACAATTTTAATACACCACTATGCAATTCGTTTTCGACGGTAATGTGGCTCAGAAACTAAATCATCCCGTTTGTTTGGAATTTGATTTTAAGTCCGCTGTCTTTAGAATGTTCAATTAGCTGTTCTCTTGCATTCAGTTCTAACATAACTAGGCCCACCAGCGGCCGACGATAGTCGCTGAGTACTGGTAGTTCGGTCCGAGGCTCGAATCCAGCGAACGGGCCGGCTGCAAGGGTTTTCCCCATGTGTGACGTGCATTCCTTAGAAAGTCCTCACCGAAGGAATCTTTCCATTAGGCAAGTAGCCCTCGAGGCTTTGCTATAATCACTTAATCATAAATTGCTTTCATTCATTAACAGTCTATCATTTTAAAAATTGCGATGGGAAGGATCAAGAGCCCATAAAAATTCGTTATATTTATCACTTGAAAAATAAGTCTTAAACTGTGATCTGAGCATCTTAACATACCTAAGTATGTCGCTCATAATTCCTTTCGAAGAACGCTATAATTTTCTATTAAGGAGACTCGTACACCTTAAAGCCTGTAAGATCTTCTAATATGTGATTGTTGCAAGAATTGGGATAACTCATTTATTTTAAAAGCAATTACTTCCAACTTTTTACAGCCGACTAC